CGGAAAACAGAAGTTCGCAAAAGTCCAAGACCCAAAAGCTGCAGCTAAGCTAAAGGCAACCGAAACTACACCAAGGACTCCTGGGGATATGCCAAAGATAGGCTGATCCCACACCAGAGATAGCGAGGGCTATTTTAAAAACACTCGAAACATTAAGATTCAGATATTATGTATTAAGATATACAGAATCACATTGTGTCAGCGATGCCCAAAGTCATATTAAAAATATCCGGAACCAAAAACAGGGGATCTGCTTACGCGCTGAAGCTACAAGTTCAGGTTTAAGCTTCTACATTTACGCAGTTCAAATTCACTAAGTACCAAGATCCAACATTCCAGATACAGTCAGTAATAACTGCTAACGTACCAAGTGCCAAGCTGCGGGCACGTTTGTATCGATCCAGTAATACCGAACGTATTTGTGTCGGTCCCAGTGAACCCGATTCTTTCGAGAAGAAATCATAGACGCGGACACGCTGGAAAAAAAAAGATGTCGAAAGGTCAAAGCAATCGTGTTTTATCCAAAAAAACTGACCAACTGCCCTGAAAAACGATATCGAAATTCTTCGAAACTGACCTTGATGTGCGACTGTGTTCGTGCGTGAGCTTCTTTGTCGGCATCCGAATAATGCTTGCTTTGACAGACCTAAAATTCCACACATCCATTAAAGACATAACACACACACATACGTAAAATACATGTATACACACATACATACACATATACATACACACATACGTAAGTACATACATACACACATATCTTCAAATGTTAAGATGAACACCTAGAAAGATGGTTAACGGGTTTCTCGCAATATACGCACACAGATATGATATCGCCACATAGTTTTTCGTGATTTATGCAAAAATTTGTAAGAAAATTGGAACTTACCACGCAACTGTCATGCAACCATATATCGGGCCGATTTGTGGTACCATTTTGTGCGTTCGTTTTGATCAATTTTTTTGTGCCAACAGCTGTTGCATTAGATGTCATGAAGTAACTCTGGTGCTTCTGAAACTTCAAACTGAGCAACAGTATAAATATGCGAAGAGTTCATCACAATATATCGCGAGAACCGACAAAAATCCTCTTGGTCCCCCGTAAAAGTGAAGTTTGATGGAGAAACAGGGTGGAGGAGGAGATGTATCGCGGAAAACACGCAAAAAGCCGGCCAAGAAGCCGCCACAAAGAAAAAGAGAACAGAAAGGTGTATCTTGACTTGAAAGGCAGATCCACAGTAGATGTGCTGTCTGGCTGAACCTGAAGCACAACGGCCGGTGGTGTAGTGGTAACACATTGCGTCCGGACGTGAAGAGGAATGGTTCGATTCCCCTCCCGGTCCAGAACAATTTTCGAGAAAGAGCTTCGTTCACGACAAGATATTTTAGCTTCCAGATAAGCTGCGCAGTGGAAGTTTTGCACAAAGCCAGCAAGAAAATAAGCGAAAATTTGTCAGAATATTTGTCATTCATATGGA